CTAGGACAATTAAGTAGACTATTGCTCTACTGCAAAATTACCTTATCTTCTGTGTTCATTTTTTGGTCATTCTGTCCTTTAAGCCACTTCGGAGGGCTGAATACTATCTAGTGATCACATATACCTATCACATCCGTGGGGAAATTAGTATGCTGGGCTGCGTGATGCTTCTGTATTCACTTATTGATGACCTTAGATATACTCAAACAACATTTGCAGTGTCATCAAGCCTACAGTTTTGCCTTTAGAGTTAAAGGACCATAGCATACAAGGTCTAGACATACAGCCTTAAATGTAATTTGAAGAGGAAAATAAAAAGAGCTCCTTTGGACTCAATATTCAGGCGATCATCTTAGAAAACAGGAAGCAAAAAAGTCAATTGTTCATCTGGATGTTTTCATTTATGACACTGGTTGTGCAAAATATGCAGAAAAAGTATCTGGATGATTGATGGAGTTTTCCCCTTACCTACTGTATTAAATGTTGTCTTGTCAGGAAAAGTAATATGTGTAGTATAACAGAAAGAGCAGTTCTAGACGTAGATCTGATTCTTGCTCATTGTGTCATCTTCGCTAAGTTATGTATTTTATGTCTCTGGACCTTATTTTCTTTACTTATAAAAATCAAAGTGTTGGCCCCAACAGTTCCTTCCAGCTCAAACGTTACAGGAGTCTATGAAATATAGCTTTGTTTACTGATCAAATATTATATTTCCTGTTTCCCATTGGTGAAGATGATTTTACTCTTAACACCTGTTACATATAGGAGAAATTGTACAAAAGGCTTTAAATATCAGGTTCTTGTAGTTCACACCTCATTCTTCTAAATGGTGATTATAATTCTATTGGTCTATTTGTGCAAAAAGGAAGTGGCTGAAGACACATGAGGTGGAAAGATGAGTAATATCAGTGAATTAAATCCATTTTATACTTCCCTTTCCGTTCTTCAAACATAATTATTTTTGAAGAAGCTCTCACTCTACTTTGTCTATGTAGACTGGCTACAATGCCGGATGTGACAGCAACCTGTTAACTTTCTAGAGAAGCAGGAACACCTTTGCTTGCATGCAATTTAATCTTCAGCTTCACTCTACCACTTGGAAAGCTTAGCACAGGGAAATGGTTCTCACAATGTGGACTCCAGACAAACTGTATCAGCATTACCAGGGAACTTAACAGAAATGTAAGTTCTCAGCTCCCACCCCAGATCAACAGAAGCAGAACCTCTGAGGTTAGGGCCCGGTGTTCTGTATTTTAATAAAATTTCCAATTATTCTAATATGTGCAGAAGTTTGAGAACTTCCAGTATGAAGGAACAAGCATAACGTTTGGAATCTAGCTCTTCTTCTTACTATGTAAACTTAAATATAAACTGAATAATTGTAGGAATCATTCAAAAAAGACACGTGAGAGTGTCTTTTTGGCTCTAATTCCAAAATATATCTTGAGTCTCTCCATTTGTTTTCCTTCCTTGAGTCCTAGCCACCAACATCTCTCACCTAGATGGCTTCTTGACTGGTTGTCCTGCTAATCTGTTTATCACAAAGCAACCAGAGTGGTCTTTTAAAAGCATGAATCAGATTGAGTCATTCCCCTGCTTAAAATCCTCCAATGGTTTCTCATTATATTCAGAATAAAACCCAAACTCTGTGCCTGGTTTACAAGGTACAGTATAATCTGTTACCCTCTTATGTTTCAAGACTTTCACCATTTCTTACTATGATTTGGTTACACTGGCTTCCTTGATGCATCTCAAATATGTCAAGAAGTTTCCTGCCTCAGGGCCTTTGCACTTCCTTACCTTCTGCCTGGAATGTCTTTCCCCTTGAAAGGCTGGCTCTTTTTCATCCTTTAGGTTTCAGCTCAGAGGTCAATTCTCAGACAAATCTTCGCTGACTACCTTATCTTATGAAGCCTTTCCCTTACTTCTAGTTATTTTCTATCATACCATCCTAATTATTTTCTTTATAACTCTTATTACAAAACGACATTTTCTAGGTCATTTATTTCCTTAATAGCATATTGCCTGTCAACTTCTAGTGAAATACAAGCCCCTTGAGAGCAAGGATTTGCCTTTCAGCCCTGTACTTAACATTGCCCGCCTTATGGTAGCCAACAAAAAAATATTTGTTGAACAAATTATTAATATCTTAAAATCATTTTGGAAAATTTCTACCTTTAGCCACAAAGATTTATAGTATTTTACCCCTGAAAATATACAAATCTACTTTTAGGAAGTTTTTTACTCTGAAAAATATCTGAAAGAGCAGATTAAAATTAGACCACACTGGTCAAGTATAGATCATGGCAAAAATAAATTGGGAAGATGGGGTATGGTAAAAATGTTTATGTCTGAACAGGTTTCAGTTCTTCACACATCTCAAACATGAGTAGCACATGCTAACCTAAAGCCACAGTGGGAACACATCAACCAGGAACGGGGGCTTCCATCATTCTGACACAGGGAAGATGGGAACAATGGAATCATGCCCAGCAGGTCTGCGGAGGAAGGTTAAATGGTTTTAGTGCCAGAAGGGAAAAACTGCCATTTTGTCAAGCCAGAACAGAAGTTAGCACATCTGTGGTTGTTGAAGTGAAGAGCTGATGAATGGAATGCAACAACTTGGAACTGAAAAGGAGAAGCCCGTTTCTAAGCTCAAACTCATGGTTTGTAATCCCAGAGCACAGTACATCTTAATATTGTAAGAAATTCTCCTGTCAACAAAGACAGAGTGTTCATGGATAAGTGACTGGGGCTACTCTATCCCCTTTTGTGATCTGCATGGTGATTTTAATTATAATAACTCATTTAAATTGGAGATCTAGGCAGCTGGATATTAAAAACACAGCATTGGGAAAACCCAATAAGACCAAAAAAAATGAGAGGAAAAAAACGACAGCCAAACTCTTTTGTATAATTAAGCTCTCCTGTGACAATGAAAACAATTCGATAATGTCTGTGTCGCTGATATGCTAGTTGAGGAAAAACAAAAGAAAAAACATAGATGCAACAGCCAAGTGCTACGAAAGTCAACTGGTCTGACAAGCTTCTAACACCAAGGGTGGTTGACAACCGAGGAAAAAGCCGAGTTATCTTCAGAAAGCAGGCAAATTTCATTCTGCTTTTTTTCCCATGCATCGATGCAGATAACTTGATTTAAAAGAGAAAGACTGTTAGGACCTCATTTTCATCTCCAGCACAGGATCCCTGGAAAACGTCTCACTGCACAAAGCTGGGAGCCAGTGACGAGGTTGATTCTCCAGAACAGTAACTCTGGAGTATTCTTCTCTAGTGCAGGAGACGTTTGACCCACTAGAAGGCACTATGCCAACCCCTGGTTACAGAAAATTTCATACCTTTTTAACAAACTGAAAAGAGATATTTCACTTAAAAGAAAATCATGAAAGTGAAAATGACCTTACTCAATTAGTTGAACAACTCAAATAACATTTAGGAATAATCACCACTGAATTGAAAAGTCTATTCAACTAAGAAAAAAGGGAAAACATTGGCCATTTACCTGAATATTTTCAGGTTGTCCCTACCTGACATATAAGAAATAATTATTACACTGGTGAGAAAAATGTATCCTAAACGCTTAAAAAAAAACCCCGCAGCAATTGCATCTCACTGAACAACTCTGTAACCTTCAGTCTTATGTTTTTCCAGTCAATTAACTGTGGTATCTTTTGCTTTTCAACCAACCAAATAGGGTATCAACTGCCTCAGTTTAAGAAAGAGCAAAGATCGAATATCAAGTCTGTCATTTGGCATGAGTAGAGTTAGTGCTTTATTATTGTTGAAGACAGATGAGTGATTAAAGAGGAGTGCAGATTTATTCAAACAACTGCTGCCCAGATCATCATATGAAGTACTTTCCACAACCATGTGTGCTCTCCCACCACCTGGGCTACATCAGAGGGATGTGGGTCCAAAATGCTAAGAGTCACAGGGGGAGGGTCACTGAAGGCTAGTTGATATTGGAAATCTCCAAGTCGTTTCTAATCACACTTCTAAAAAACCTCATATGACTATTGAGCAAAATTATTTGGCCATATCTTAAAACTAAAATGCTTTGGAAGAAGAATTGGTGAAATAAATAGACTTTCATGGTATCAGTTATTGCAAGAAATAAGAATATTTAAAGTTTTTGCTACAAATTGCACCTACAGAACTACTCTCATCGCTTTAATAAACATTGTTGTTTATGTGAAGCATTCTTGAATAATTATAAATCTATAATATTTATTTTCAATACCCCAGACAGATGGGATTCAGGCATGTTCCAATTTGGCAGAACTCAATATGCTTTCAAAATGCCTATCCAATGAAATCCCTTTTTGGATATCAAATCAATACGATAACAGAGTTTCCAAGATAGGCTCAATTGATGACCACGTGCTAGAGGTTTTACATTTATATTGTCTGGATCAATGCCGACGATTTGATTGGAATAGGAGCAGCTGCACATATAGTCTTTGGGGTGAGAGAGATTTGTCTCTCTCCACTCTGATAAGAACTAAATTTGGACTGTGCATTTTGAGATGTTCATGGCACCACATTTACTGCTATCAAAGAGGAACAATTACAAAGGATTAACATGAGCCCCAGATCAAAATTCCAATGCAGAAAAGCATAGAGCTTTAAAAAGACAAATCAGGAGCAGGAATAACAAAACGTTTCCTGTGTCAGGTTTACAGCTTGATGGCAGGAGGAGAAACAGTTCCTTTGCAAGTGTGTTCACACTAATATCCATCCCCCAAACACATCAGCCTAATTTCTTCCTTTCTGCTCTGACAACATCCTTGCCCTCCACCCTCACTCTACCTACACTCCCAGAATCACCAAGGGAATGCTAATTAAGTAAAAAACCAAGGGTTTTACAGTCTTATTTTGCATAGTCCTTCCCCAAAAGCCTGAATGCAAACTTCTCAGCTTATTATTTTAATATCAAGAAATTCTGTAGCACTACAAATGATAAATTGGAATCACAAACTTACCATAAAAAGTCAACTGTCCCCTTGCTACGTTTTTCCCTCTTGAATTTTCAGCCACACATTCATATAAACCAGCATCCTCCTGCTGGAAATTGGGGATTTCAAGGATTCCATTTGACTTGTGTCTCCTGGCTTTTCTTGCTATTGGCTTTCCATCAGCTCTTCTCCAGATAATAGTTGGTACTGGACTGATAGTGATAATAAAAAGGAATTAATCAAATTAAAGAAAATTGTTTCTTTTATCTGAACCTATGCTCTCAACATTTTTCTTCTTAGTTCTAAACATAAGCTTGCATTAGACAGTGTTTTCCAAACTTCATTCATTTGCACATCACTATAATGATTTTATCCATATCCACATCTCTAGTATTATTATATACTTACTGTTTTTCTTAAAATCAAATAACCTTCCTTAACCTTAAATAATCTATCTCCTACAAAATATTATCACTCAAACAAAACAGATTTTTATAAGCTTATTATATTTTTTCTAATATATTTGGTTTTTCTAAATCATAAATATGAAAATAAAAATGTCCATGCACACATGTGGCAGATTAAAGATGGCTTCAAATTCTTTCACATTCCTTTCATCAAGATGAGGTCCAGGCACCTTCCTCCTTGAACCTGGTGAGCTCTTGGGCAACTTTGAATACTGAAATAAGGCAGAGGTGATGTTGTGTCAGTTTCAAGACTCAGGCGATAAGAAACTGGCAGCTTCTACTTTCTGTCTCTTGGAGTACTCTCTATGGAACCTTACCAAGTTATAGCAGTCCATTAGGAGGGTGGTTTGAGGAAAGCTTACGTAAAATAGTGAGATAAGGAAATAAGCAATCTATGGGGTCTTTATACACTCTCAAGGCATCTATCATCCTACAGCCCTAACTGTTAGAACACATCTTAAATTGCAAGGAGGACATTGTGGAGTCTGCAAATCAATGGTTTAGTGAGCTAACCACAGCTTTTAAGATTGTGGCTTCCTAGCAGGAGATACAATTATTTACTTATTTATTTTTCACAAAAACACACGCAGAGAAGTAATTAGACTAAAGACTTGCTAATCTTCTCTGGAAAACCTGAGATGGTATTTAAAAAATTAAAGCCATCAACTCTACTATACTTGTTTTAGAAGAATTTAGGTTCACTAGACAGACACTAACTCAAAATGCAGAAAGGGCTCTATCAGAAGTACATTATGGGTCTTTACATTTGATGAGAGAGACACTTAACGCATGCCTTTACAAATAACTGTACTTAGACATAGTCTTTTTGCTCTTCAGTGGGCGCTGATGATGTGTTTCAGCAGCTGGATGTGCATACTCAAACATTTCTGCGTAGACTGGAGGAGCCCAATTTGGGTCTTTTGTTTTTATTCTAGTGCCATTCAAGCAGCATGAATAGAGTTTAATTCATACCCCCTTTGAAGTGTGAACAACATGAATTTTGCTCTTTCTCTACAGATGATTTTTCAAGGTGTCACCTTGGAGAGTTCAACAAATATATTCCTAGCCTATCTAGTTACCTGCTTTCACTTTTCCCTTGGATTGAGTTTCCTAATATATATATATATATATATTAACATATATGTTAATAAAAGGGACCATATTACACTGTTTGGCAATCTGCTTTTAGTCTCTTAGCAATAAATCATGGGCATTTTCTATGTCTTACACATTGTTTTACAAGTTGATTTTTTTTTTTTTTTTGAGGAAGATTAGTCCTGAGCTAACTGCTGCCAGTCCTCCTCTTTTTGCTGAGGAAGCCTGGCCCTGAGCTAACATCTGTGCCCATCTTCCTCTACTTTATATGTGGGATGCCTACCACAGCATGGCGTGCCAAGCAGTGCCATGTCCGCACCCGGGATCCGCACCAGCGAACCCCAGGCCGCCGAGAAGCAGAACGTGTGAACGTAACCGCTGTGCCACCGGGCCAAACCCTACAACTTGATTTTTAAGGTCTGTACAATGTTCCATGCTACAGCTATGTCATAATTTATTTAAAGTGGTAAGTTTTAAGGACATAAAAAATGACCACTGTATTGTACCAAAATAAAGACACTATTGTAGCTTATATGGCCACGACTTGGAAACATGGAAACCAAAAGAATCCTTCTTTATTAAAGCTGAAAGTAAAAAGAAAAGAAGTAACGCTTTCTTCTATGGTTGCTGTCAAACACAAAAGTCATAAAAAAATAGATTCAATGCTGATGCAGGGGTTGGGCAAAAGTTAGCGTTGTTGCCTTAGCCAAGATTTGGGCACAGGAAAAGGATGAGGAGTTAGCAAAGGGTTAGTCCAATAGATGGAGTTGAGTGTAAAGATTCACGTGCATCCTCAAAATCCAGAGAAGATGTAAAATTCTCATTTCAGATGATAGTTTTTATGGTTTATGCCAAACCTTTTCTTCAGGGTTACTGGCAAAATCTTCACCAATCTGTTTTTTCATTTTCTTTATACCCTCTGATAGGTACTATATGGAAAAGTTAACTGGTTCCCAAGTAGGCTTATCTAACAATAATCCACAGACTGAATAATAAAGTTGTGAATAATTTTCAGACAATTCTGTAAAATAGAGACTCTCGTGGGGAATATCAGGTCTTACCTATCTCTAGGCAGAGTAGAAGGACATCCAGAATAGACAAAAGAAACCAGCAATTAGAAAAAAAATTCAAGAAAAGTTTGATGCATCCTCTATAAACTAGGGCCAGAATGAAAGTTCATATTTTTCCAAATAGTCAGCTTGACTCTACCTCAAATGAAGGCATTGTTTTCCTGTCATCCTGGGTCAGACAGTGTGCACACTACAGGTCATAATAATAGAACAAAATACTTTTTTCAGAATTGCCCATTCTCCTCTCTTTGTGGCACGTTAACTGCAGCAGCCTAAGCCTCCTCACACCATTACACCTTCCCTCTCCGTGGTGAGAGGGCAGAATCGAAGACGCAGACACAGAATTACAAAGAGAAAGGCTTGACTTGCTTTTCAGTCACCTCAGAAACTATCACTGCAAACAGTGCAAGGAAAATTCTATACCTGCCCAAGCTGAAGAGAGGAGAAGGAGGGAGAGAAACCAGAACTTACTTTCCTAAGGCAAAGCATTCCAGCTTCACTGTTGTTCCTTTTGCAGTCGGGACCGTTTCTGGGAACTGCACTTCTATTTTTGGCTCATATTCGCCCATCACCCCTGTGAATAAACGAAGGAGCTAAGTCTTGGAGGTTCTTTGAAAACATACATAAGTGTTTATCGGTTAACGTGGGATGCTCCCATACATCATTATGTGCATGATTAATTCTTTCATTTAAAGCAGGTCCTATGTCTAACAGTCGTGAATTGTGGCTCCTCTCCCAGCTACTGCTAGAGGGAAATTTGTATCACAGCACCACACCATCTGCCTAGGATTAAATTCTCCATGCATACAACCTCGCTTCTCAGAAATACTTTTTTTTTAGGTAGTCATGGAAAAAAACAAGGAAGGAAGATAAAGTCCTTGTCACCAGGAAAATCAAATAAATTATCTTTTTGGAAATATACTGCCAAAAAATTCAAAATACTTTAAAAACATACGTGCATGCCTTATTACATCTATAGAAGAAAAAAAATTCTGAGTAATCAATTTGTGACCACAAATTACTTTATCTTTCATTTCCAAGGCCAATCTGAATTAACCATAAATTAGAACATGCAAGGTAATATCAAATGCAGTATTTACACTATATTCAGAACGAATGTAAAAAGAATAATAGGAAGGTCATCTTCTCCCACTCAAAGGTCATCTTCTCCCACTTTCCCCCACCCTGGAAATGACTGTACAATTATGGCCCAGGTAACACAACCTAACAAATGAAGTCCATGCTTTAAACTAAATACTGATCAATTATTTCTTATCAATTCATTCTTGACCACATATACCACTGCTCTAATTGTTTTAATATATTTATTTATTTATATTCAATTTCTAGTCATTTTCTGTGGTCTCTGATTCAACTGTGTCAATACAAAGTTTGGAATTACGTAGTATACTAAAAAATGATAGGATCTTCCTTTTTCTTTCTCCTTTAGGCTTCCCTTAGTTAGAGGAAAAATAAATGGAAGGATTCAGAAGAAAGGTTGAAAGCCAGGAATGGATGGGGACAGCTACAATGACAAAGAGAAAAGATTGCACTCACTCTGCAGAGGTGATCCTTTTCACCTGCAGCTTCAGAGTTGGGAAGGATCAAGGGAATTTTGTCAGTGTGTAAAAAAAAAAAAACCAACACTAAGTGTCAGATGACATAGTCTAGCTAGGTTTACCATGAGGTATGAAGTGCAGAAGTGCAAAGCTGAATATAGTTGTTTGTTTATTTCCTTTCATAAATGACAGGGGAGATTGTGTTTGGAAGGCATCTTTGAGGTAATTTAGCTCAGCATTCCTAATCTTGGCATTTGTGGATGCACACTTTTCTACTAAGAGGGACCATAGCTAGCAACCTATTCTCAAATGGACCTTAACTCCTCCCAAATTGAAATCAGAGTTCTAATCTCTCCCTTCCTTTTAAAACAAGGCTGTAATCTCCAAAGGGTTAAACAGTTTGTCTTTAGTCTCACAACCAACTAGTTAGTGTTCAAGGTTGCAACTCTGGTTCTCAATTCCTCATCTCAGTCTTTTACTATGGCCTCTCACCACTGCAATGAATAACACTACAAAACTAGATTCATATACACTAAATCCATGCTTGACACATTCAGATACAAAACCATCCCTCCTTTTTTGGCCGGTCTCTGCGTTCTCTTGCACTTAAGTTTGGGTTTGCCTTCCTTTGAGCATTTGCCACAAAGTTGGACCAGTAAAGAAGTGACGCTTGCTAACGACGGCATCCACACACTGCCCATGCTGTTAACTCATCATCCCATAAATATCAGGAGGATGACACTGAATGCAGGAACAAGTTAACACCTTTACAGCTGCATGTGTGGCTGTGTCCTATGGGAGCTGTGTTAATTAAAAAGAGAATTGCCTTCAGAGAGAGGTCTTTTGTCCTCCCAGGAAATCAAGACCATCTGCATTGCAGTGTATCGTGTGTGGGAGACACGATGACAAGGTTAAAATACAAGGGACAAGGCTGTCTTAGCAGTGATCTGCCTCCTCTTTCTATAAACATTACATGTAAATTGGGTTTCTTTAAGCCAGCTATGAAAGATACACCAAGGAGCAAATATATCAGGACACACAACTGTGTCCTGAGTAACTGAAATGTCACTGCAGTGCAGACTCAGCATCCCAAATCCCCTGAACTGGTATCTCCTCATCCTAATATCCTACCTACTAAAGCCCAGACTCAAGGTCCACTCTTCCAGGGTCCTTTACCCCCTCCTCTGTACACCCTACTCTCTAGTCCACAGTGATCTTTAAATGACCAGAAAGAGGCAAAACCTCTTTTGCAACAGTTCTCACTGTTCCCCATGACTTCTTAAAAAAAACCCCACACATTTATTCAGGTAGAATTTATATACCAAAAAATTAACCAATTTTAAGAGTACAATTCAATGACTTTTAGTAAATTTACTGAGTTGTGCAGTCATCATAATTCAGTTTTGGAAGATTTCTATCATCTGGAAAAGATCCCTCAAGCCTGTTCATAGTTAATCCCCAGAAATAGGCCCAGGCCCAGGTAACCAGTAATCGGCTTTCTGTCTCTCTAGATTTGTCTCTTCCAGACATTTCATGTAAGTGGAATCATACAATATGTTGTCTTTTGAGCTTGGCTTCTTTCATGTGGCATCATGTTATCAAGGTTCATCCATGTTGTAGCATGTATCAGTAGTTGGTTACTTTTTATGGCTGAATAGTGTTCGACTGTATGGATGTACCACATTTTACTTACTATTCACTGGCTGTGTTAGTTCCCTAGCAATGCCGTAACAAAGTGATACAAATTGTATGGTTTAAAGCAGAATAAATTTATTCTCTCACAGTTCTGCGGGCTAGAAGTCATAAATGAAGGAGTTGACAGGGCCATGCTCCCTCTGAGACCCTGGGTAGAAGTGTTCCTTGCCTCTTCCTAGTTTTTGGTGGTGGCCATCAATATTTGGGGTTTCTTGGTTTGTAGTTGTGTCACTCCAATCTCTACCTCTGTTGTCAAATGACATTCTCTCTGTGTGCCTTCCCGTTGTTGTCTTACAAAGACATCAGTCATATTGGATTAAAGATCCACTCTACTCCAATATGACCTCACCTGAACTAATTACATCTGTGGACACCCTATTTCCAAATAGGGTCATATTCAACATACCTTTCTTGGAGACAATTCACCCATAGTATCAGTTGATGAGCATTTAAGTTGCTTCCACTTTTGGCTATAATGAATAATATTTCTATGAACATTCACATACATGTGTTTGCGTGGACACGTTTTCATTTCTCTTGTGTTCCCCATGACTTTTACATGGATGACTTTCCTCTTGCTTCATGTCTCAGTTCAAGTGATGCCCCCTTGGAGAAGTGTTTTCTATTCACCTTATCTAAAATAGGTCTCTATTGTTTTTCTCTGTCAACATCTTATTTCTTTTATGTTAACTACCACAATTTATAATTCTCTTGTTTGTTCCTGTGTTTAATCTGTCTTCCATCTAGATTGCAATATGCATGACATCAAGTAATGTTTCTTTTTCATATGTATCTCTAGTTTCTAATGCTGTCTCTTCACTTAATAGATGCTCAGTAAAAAACTACTGCCATAAAACATTTTACATATAAACTTCTGGGCACCTCCGGAATAAGCATTACTTTTTTCTATCATCTTTACAGCTATTTATATACATGTAGTTTCTTCTGCTGTACTTTCACTTCCTTGAGGAATGGAAATACTTCTGATTTTTTTCTGTATCCCTCACAAATCTTAGCTCAGTACCAGGCACAAGGAAAAAAATTGTGATGAGCACAAAATCTGTAGAAGGGAGGAAAAGATGTAGGAATGTGGGCCTTTATACTGTGACACATAATAGCCATTAGGTTAAATATGTATTTCTTTCCAGGCATGAAAGTCATTTTTTAAGTATCATCATGGCTTCTTATATGAGTTCACTCACTTAAGATCATATTTTTCCAAAATGAGCTGTGTAGATTGTTTATGGGGTCATAGGGAGGGATTTATGGGTTGATATACAGTGATCTGCATTTGTGGCTATAGGAAAGCAAGCAACAGAGTTATCAGTAATAATACAGATTGATCTGTATTTACAGGAGTAGTTATTGGATATAAAGATATGGATCAGAGATGGCATAGTATGGTTTTCACTGCTGTTTAAAGAATTTTTATTATATATAAAGATTGTCTTAGTATTAAGGTCATAAAAACGAAGGAAGCAATTTTCTTCAATTATATTATGAACATTTTTTGGAACACCTGTGAACTGTTCCATTTAATTTGGTTACATCTGGCATAGGCTATACTTTTATTCGACTATTTCTCTCATTTTAACTATTTTGGCCTTTACTTTCTACATTAAATTTTAAAAGCTGTTTCTTTTTTTATTTTTTAAGAAACAAAGGCCCCTTAAAACAAGAGTGCAATTTTCAAGTCATTCCTCTGACCACCTGTACACTTTCGAACTTAATTGCTCTACAGCTGTTCTGATGATTTACAGAATGGTTAGGCGAAAAGATTGAGACTATTAATGGAATTGCTTCCTCCATCTTCAAACTATTCAAAAAAGTGGGAAGATATAAAGGCCTAGCTGTATCTACACAACCAAGGTAACAAAGTAAAGACTACAGATAATATAGTCAAGATCAACTAGGATATATAATCTCAGCAAGGTTCCCTTTCTCCTGTATGATACATATGATAGGCCTATAGAGACAACTATTGATTTCAATTCTAAATAGAGACACCTATACCTATCATTTTAAACAGAAAGTAAAAAAAGTCTTAATTCTTAAAATGCATTGTCATTATTTTCCATCTTTTGGAGTAGAAGAGACCCCATAACAATAGTGAAAGCTACAGCACTTTAAATTCCATACATCAAAGTCCTCAGAAGTCAGGGGCTTAGCTATATTTACATTCAATGAATTAATTCAATAAGTATTCATTTAACACCAATCATAAGCTATGCACTGTGCCTAGCAACGGGAGCACAGTGTGGATAACACAGTCCTGATCATTATCTTCATGACATTTGTACGCTACTCTTTTTCAATTCAT